TCCCTCTGCGGGCTTTTTGCCCCTTCCCAAACCTCATGATTTCACTTGGTGGGGTTGAACTCCCGGGGAGTTTTGGACCAGGTTGCGCCTGTCCGACCCCTTTTTGTTCTGCCCCGGTTTCGATCGAATGAAACCCTTTCATCAAATTCACGGCCCTTTCCCCCAAGGGGGGTGACCCAAAAGAAAGAAAAACAAAAGAAACAATTTCATATCATTCATCACTTTCACCCCCACTCATACAAATCACTCTCTTTGCAGAGGCGTCAGATACGACAGTTTAGCTATTCATCCACCAATATCCCTAACTAATCCTTTAAAGTGCAGGCATTGTACTTTCCATTTCCAGGACTCAAATTTGGCTAACCGATTTCCCTGAATCGATTCACAAAATATTATCATGTTCACACTCCAACAGCTTGTCAGGTCCCAAAAACCATTCGTCTCCATTCACTCCGACACGCTCACGCACGCCCACAAAACCTCCTTTACCCCCTCCCTCCAACCATTTCGAGGACGACCCCTACCCCGCCTTCCTTCCCCTACAGATTTATACGCTCTCCAAGTCCTACTTTGTTCCATTTTCTCTAAATGACCAAATCACGTCAACAACCCCTTTTCAGCCCTCTGACTAATACTTTTAGTAACTCCACACCTCCTCCTAATTTCCACACTACGAATTTTCTGCATAATAGTTACATCACACATTGCCCTTAGACAGAACATCTCCACTGCCTCCAACCGCCTCCTCGCTGCAGCATTCAAAACCCAAGCTTAACACCCATATAAGAGTGTTGGTACCACTATACTTTCATACATTCCCTTCTTTGCCTCCATTGATAACGTTTTAGTCTCCACAGATACCCCAACGCACCACTCACCGTTTTCCTTCATAAATTCAATGGTTAACCTCATCCTTCATAAACCCCTCTGCTGACAAGTCAACTCCCAAATATTTGAAAACATTCACTTCTTCCATACTCCCTCCCTCCAATATCCTCATCACCTTATTCTTCAACTTTCTACCTTTCTACTTTCTACTCTTCAACTTTCTACCTTTACACACCCTCCCAGACTTGTACACTAACCTTTGCAACTTTTCTTTATATATATATATATATATATATATATATATATATATATATATATATATATATATATATATATATATATATATATATATATAAAGATCACAGTAAACAGGCGGAATCACAATATGCAGAAAAACCACTGTGAAAAAATAGTGAAATTCCAAGTGCTTTCGTGACTTCTTACATTATCAAGGAACTATAAAAATAAATTAACAGGAAGGCACATAAGGACAAGACTACAGCTCACAGTCACGTCAGAACACCCAACTCTGTGAAACACAACTGATACTCTACCCAAGGATTACGATTTTTTTACTTGTCGAATATATCATCAAATTATTGCCAAATTTTATTAATAATAAATGAATCCAATTTATATAAACCAAACAAAATATATCATTTTCAGCATTTTGCTGACGGGTGTGTCTATAAGATTCCTTGTAAAATATGTGATAAAGTGTATTACAGTTAAACTGGTAAAAGTCTTGAACTAAGATTAAAACAACATAAATATAGCATTAGAAGTGGACAAGATTCTAATGCTCTGTTTATTCATGTGAGAGATTTTAATCATCCAGTTGATTTTCAAAAGCTAGAGAAGGTTGTATCTAGCAAGTTCATGGTCGACAGTAACATAATAGAATCTTGTTTCATAAAAAGCAGTTTTGAAAATAATATGAATATTTCTTTTGGTTTATATAAAATTGCATTCATTTATAATTAATAAATTTGGGAAGAATTTAATGATATATTACACAGGTAAAAAAAAAAAATCTTAATGCTTGGGTAGAGGCTCTGGTGGCCTGGTGGTTAACGCTCTCGCTTCACACGGTGAGGGCCTGGGTTCGATTCCCAGCCAGAGTAGAAACATTGGACGTGTTTCTTTCCACCTGTTGTCTATGTTCCCCATCAGTAAAATGGGTACCTGGGTGTTACTCGACTGGTGTGGGTCGCATCCTGGGACACTGACCTAAGGAGGCCTGGTCACAGACCGGGCCGCGGGGGCGTTGACCCCCGGAACTCACTCCAGATAAGAGTATCAGTTGTGTTTCACAGAGTCTGGTGTTGTGACTTGACTTTGATATACCTTTGATGAGTTTCAAGAGTTTATCTACTCTGAGCCCGGCCATGGGCCAGGCTCGTCCGGTGCTTGCCTGGTCAACCAGGCTGTTGTTGCTGGAGGCCCGCTGCCCAACATATCCATCACAGCCTGGTTGATCTGGTGAAGATACTTGTCTAGTTTCCTCTTGAAGGCTTCTACACTTGTTCCAGCAGTGTTTCTGATATCTTCTGGTAAGATGTTGAAAAGTCTGGGACCCTGGATGTTGATACAGTGTTCCTTTATTGTCCCCACCGCACCCCTGCTCCTCACTGGGTTTATTTTACACTTCCTCCCATATCTCTCACTCCAGTATGTTGTTATGGCAGTGTGCAGATTTGGGACCAAGCCCTGAGTACCTTCCAGGTATATATTATCATGTACCTCTCTCCTCCGCTCCAATGAGTACATGTTCAAGACTTGCAGGCGTTCCCAGTAGTTTAGGTGCTTTACAGGTTCAATGTGAGCCGTAAACGATCTCTGTATTTGTTCCAGCTCTGATATTTCTCCTACTTTGAACGGGGACCATCAGCACTGAGCAATATTCTAAATGAGGGAGTACTAGCGATTTGAAGAGTGTCACCATCGGCATTATTTCCCTTGTTTTGAAAGTTCTCAATACCCACCCCGTCATCTTCCTGGCTGTCGTGATCTTTGTCTTGTTATGGTCTTTAAAAGAAAGGTCCGCTGACATAATTATTCCCAGGTCTTTTACGTCTTCCTTACCTTCTATTTGGTGACCCTCTTGAGTTTTGTATATAGTGCTCCTTTTGAGTTCTTCATTCTTTCCATACCTAAGCAGCTGGAACTTATCACCAATGAACGTCATGTTGTTCTCCACTGCCCACTAGAAAACCCTGTTTATGTCTTCCTGTACTTTTTCAGTGTCCTCTACCGTACTGACTTTCATGCTTATTTTAGTGTCATCTGCAAATGATGATACAAAAGTGTGCCGGGTGTTTTTGTCTATGTCTACTATGAGGATGAGAAACAGCAGAGGTGCCAGGACAGTGCCTTTGGGCACTGAGGTTTTGACCTCGCTGATGCTGGATCTTACCCTGTTCACTACTACTTTTTGTGTTCTGTGTGTTAGGAAACCGAAAATCCATCCGCCTACCTTACCGTAATGCCCATGGCCTTCATTTTGTGCGCTATCACTCCATGACCGCTTTTGTCAAACGCTTTTGCAAAATCTGTGTAAATCACATCTGCGTTTTGGTCGTCTTTCAGGTGAGGTGTAGTCTTGCCCTTATATGCCTGGGTGGTAAGGTATTTAAATCTCCTGCCTTTTTTTTAGTGCGTTGATAATAAGGGAGACTTCGTATGGGTTAGTCGGAGCTAGGAACAGTGTGTTCGGGTAGTTGCCGGTGAGGTAGTCATTTGGTGGGGTATCTGAGCTTGGGATTTTATTGGCAAGGTTTTGTCCTATAGTGGAGAAGAAATCATTGAGTCTGTTTGCTGTTTCTGTTGGTGGGAGTTGGGGTTCATATATATATATATATATATATATATATATATATAATATGGAAGGGATTCTAACGTCAGTTGCATGAATATGAGGAGGATGGAACAGTGGTATATATATATATATATATATATATATATTATATATATATATATATATATATATATATATTATATATATATATATATATATGAACCCCAACTCCCACCAACAGAAACAGCAAACAGACTCAATGATTTCTTCTCCACTATAGGACAAAACCTTGCCAATAAAATCCCAAGCTCAGATACCCCACCAAATGACTACCTCACCGGCAACTACCCGAACACACTGTTCCTAGCTCCGACTAACCCATACGAAGTCTCCCTTATTATCAACGCACTATAAAGATACACAACATATCCCTCCAAACTGCCAATATCCCAAACCCCTCCTTTAAAGTGCAGGCATTGTACTTCCCATTTCCAGGACTCAAGTCCGACTATAAGAAAATAACCGGTTTCCCCGAATCCCTTCACTAAATATTACCCTGTTCACACTCCAACAGATCGTCAGGTCCCAAGTATCATTCGTCTCCATTCACTCCTATGGAGACGAATGATACTTGGGACCTGACGATCTGTTGGAGTGTGAACAGGGTAATATTTAGTGAAGGGATTCAGGGAAACCGGTTATTTTCTTATAGTCGGACTTGAGTCCTGGAAATGGGAAGTACAATGCCTGCACTTTAAAGGAGGGGTTTGGGATATTGGCAGTTTGGAGGGATATGTTGTGTATCTTTATACGTATATGCTTCTAAAATGTTGTATTCTGAGCACCTCTGCAAAAGCAGTGATAATGTGTGAGTGTGGTGAAAGTGTTGAATGATAATGAAAGTATTTTCTTTTTGGGGATTTTCTTTCTTTTTTGGGTCACCCTGCCTCGGTGGGAGACGACCAACTTGTTGAAAATATATATATATATATATATATATATATATATATATATATATATATATATATATATATATATAAAATATATATATATATATATATATAGGTGTGGGAGTGGTGAGGGAAGAGGTGAGGGGAGACAAGTGGATTAAAATTGGTGTGAGGGTGAAGGTTAAGGAGGAGGAGGAGGGGAGGTAGTGATATATGAATAGCTGGTAAAAATGATGATGATGATGAGGGAGGGACAGAGAGAGAGAGAGAGATTGTAATGAGTGACAGATAAAGCGGCACTGGCATAGTCAGAGGAGACTAGAGACGTAGGATAATTATGATCACGACGTAATACGAGAAAGATGAGGAGTAATAATGATAAGGAGGAGACTGAGGGGTATTAAAAACAGAATAAGAGTACTCACGGAAGGGATTGTGTCTGCGACGTGTGCTGAGGGTCTCATACCCAGCCACGTCAGTGTTGCTTGAGTAGATGGGCATTGTTTACACTCCCGGATAATTCATATGGGTGAGGCGCCTCTTACTGCACATTGTTTTCCTTGCACTGTGTGCGCGTAGCACCGCTGCTCGTACATTATTTACGTCAACACCAGCGAAGCACCACGTAGCGTTCCACTACATGGGTCACCAACAAATACTACACATTGCTGAAGTTCCAGGATTACTTACAAGTCATTGTTTAGGCTGGAGTGGCGCGAAGAAAGTAGCAAGGAGTGATAACTGTACGATCCATGGTAACTCTCGCCAGTTACTGACCATGGTTCACGCCCTACCATCATAACATGACAGCCAACCACACTACTGCACATTCACTCTGCGCTAAGAACATCTTTTCTGCACCTCAGCAATTTCCTTCACCTTCTTAAAGAGAACAAGTCGCGCATGGGAATGACACAGATGCAACTTGTTATATAACTTCCTCTTTTTCTTCATCTTGCTTCACAGAAAACACCAAAAAAATTACTGCACCAAAAAATGTTGTAATATCCAATATATTTTTACTATGACAGCTAGAAGCACTGGATGGCAGGTGAAGCACCTAGGCACCTCTGACAGCCGTAGTACATCACTACAAGCCAACTTTGATTATTTCATCAGTCTACCTGCACCAACTATTGGTAATCTCTATAACAATCACTGACGTGTTATCCTACAATGTCTTCCACAGGTTCATCTTGTGTCTGGGGTGTGGCCAGAGCGTGGGTGTCACGTTAGCAGCTGCTGACAGACGCAAAACACGCAAGAGATTTCTTTGTGAGACCTGATGTTGATGCCTCGTACCCATGTTGGGAGGTAGAGCCAGGCGGCTCCCGTAACCCGCTAATCAGGGACTGCCAGGGAGGAGGGTTGCATCCCTTTGGTTCCCTGAGAGAAGCACTTGTAAGATGGCCGTGGCTGTAAGGCTACCGGTTAGAGTTGAAGAAGATATCAACACAAGAGAATGACCCGCCACCTTGACTGCGTGGCGGCATGTCAACCGAGCTAGCTGCCACACTAGCACCACCACACTCTACGCTCACATCCTGCCACGTTTACCCCGCCGGTCACAATACTACCACACGCACACACACTTGGCCACCACGGGGGTGACGAGAGTCACGGCGGCGAGGACGACTAAAGACACGGAGGCACAGGGTAAGGAAGGTTGGTGGAGCAGCAGCAGCACAGCGGCAGCAGCAGCGGCAGCAACAGCAGCAGCAGCGGCGGCGACGGCAGCAGCGTGTTTGGTCCCACACTACACACCATTGATCTGTGCCTGGCAGCGGCGCTCTTACACCGTCCTCACCGCCCCTTCCCTATACTCCCTGCGGGGCGCGCCCCAGACCTGACCAGGGGCCCAACATGACCCCCTCCTGCCCTCACCACACTCAAAGATATGTTCCCACCCCCCACCCTTTACTGAAGAAGATGATGCCTACTTAAGAACCACGAGTTCAATGTCCATAGGGCAAGACACCTTCCCACAGTGAATGAGGCAGCATGCGTTTCCCCCGCTATCGATCAGAAGCACACCCCGTCCCTGCGCCCTTCCACACGCCCCTCCCTACCCACACCCCTCCTTCCCTTCACGCGGGCCCCTCCCTCCCTCCCTCCCTCCCGCACCCTACACACCACCTCACGTCCCTACACACCATAAATTTATCAGAGAAGAGACATTGCGATTATGGTTAGCAACTATGCAATCCCAAACAACTATGTATCTCAAACAATGATGTAATCTCAAACAACTATGAAATCCCAAACAACTTTATCCCAAACAATTATGGTAATCCAAACACCTATGTAATCTCAACTACGTAATCAAAAACAACTAAGCAATTCCAAAAACTATGTAATCCCAAACAACTCTGTAATCCCAAACAACTCTGTAATCCCAAACAACTCTGTAATCCCAAACAACTCTGTAATCCCAAACAACTCTGTAATCCCAAACAACTATGTAATCCCAAACAACTATGTAATCCCAAACAACTATGTAATCCCAAACAAAATCTGTAATCCCAAACAACTATGTAATCCCAAACAACTATGTAATCCCAAACAACTCTGTAATCCCAAACAACTCTGTAATCCCAAACAACTATGTAATCCCAAACAACTATGTAATCCCAAACAACTATGTAATCCCAAACAACTCTGTAATCCCAAACAACTCTGTAATCCCAAACAACTCTGTAATCCCAAACAAACTATGTAATCCCAAACAACTATGTAATCCCAAAAACTATGTAATCCCAAACAACTATGTAATCCCAAACAACTCTGTAATCCCAAACAACTCTGTAATCCCAAACAACTCTGTAATCCCAAACAACTATGTAATCCCAAACAACTATGTAATCCCAAACAACTATGTAATCCCAAACAACTATGTAATCCAAACAACTCTGTAATCCCAAACAACTCTGTAATCCCAAACAATATGTAATCCCAAACAACTATGTAATCCCAAACAACTCTGTAATCCCAAACAACTATGTAATGCCAAACTATATAATCCCAAACTGTGTAATCCTAAACAACTATGTAATCCGAAACAACTGTGTAATCCCAAATAACTGGGTAATCTTAAATAACTGGGTAATTCCAAACAACTGGGTAATCCCAAATAAGTGGGTAATCCCAAACAACTGGGTGGTCACAAACAACTGGGTAATCCCAAGCAATTATATAATCCCAAACAACTATGTAATCCCAAACAACTGGGTAATCACAAATAACTGGGTAATTACAAACAACTGGGTAATTACAAACAACTGGGTAATTATAACAACTGGCTAACCACAAACTGAGTAACTACAAACAACTGGGTAACCACAAATTGAGTAACTACAAACAACTGGGTAACCACAAATTGAGTAACTACAAACAACTGGGTAACCACAAATTGGTAACTACAAAAACTGGGTAACCACAAACAACTGGGTAACCACAAACAACTGGCTAACCACAAACTGAGTAACTACAAACAACTGGCTAACCACAAACTGAGTAACTACAAACAACTGGCTAACCACAAACTGAGTAACTACAAACAACTGGGTAACCACAAACAACTGGGTAACCACAAACAACTGGCTAACCACAAACTGAGTAACTACAAACAACTGGCTAACCACAAACTGAGTAACTACAAACAACTGGCTAACCACAAACTGAGTAACTACAAACAACTGGGTAACCACAAATTGAGTAACTACAAACAACTGGGTAACCACAAACAACTGGGTAACCACAAACAATTGGATAATTACAAACAACTGGGCAACCACAAACTGGGTAACCACAAACAACTGAATAACTACAAACAACTGGGTAATTACAAACAACTGGGTAACCACAAACAACTGGGTAATTACAAACAACTGGGTAACCACAAACAACTGGGTAATTACAAACAACTGGGTAACCACAAACAACTCGGTAATTACAAACAACTGGGTAACCACAAACAAAATGGGTAATTACAAACAACTGGGTATCCACAAACAACTGGGTAACCACAAACAACTGGGTAACCACAAACAACTGGGTAATTACAAACAACTGGGTAACCACAAACAACTGGGTAATTACAAACAACTGGGTATCCACAAACAACTGGGTAACCACAAACAACTGGGTAACCACAAACAACTGGGTAACCATAAACAACTGGGTAACCAAAAACAACTGGGTAATTACAAACAACTGGGTAACCACAAACAACTGGGTATCCACAAACAACTGGGTAACCACAAACAACTGGGTAACCACAAACAACTGGGTAATTACAAACAACTGGGTAACCACAAACAACTGGGTAACCACAAACAACTGGGTAATTACAAACAACTGGGTAACCACAAACAACTGGGTAACCACAAACAACTGGGTAATTACAAACAACTGGGTAACCACAAACAACTGGGTAATTACAAACAACTGGGTAACCACAAACAACTGGGTAACCACAAACAACTGGGTAACCACAAACAACTGGGTAACCACAAACAACTGGGTAGTCACAAACAACTGGGTAACCACAAACTGGGTAACCACAAACAACTGGGTAACCACAAACAACTGGGTAGTCACAAACAAATGGGTAACCACAAACAACTGGGTAGTCACAAACAACTGGGTAACCACAAACAACTGGGTAACCACAAACAACTGGGTAACCACAAACAACTGGGTAACCACAAACAACTGGGTAACCACAAACAACTGGGTAGTCACAAACAACTGGGTAACCACAAACAACTGGGTAGTCCCCAAAAAAACTGGGTAACCACAAACAAACTGGGGTAGTCACAAACAACTGGGTAGTCACAAACAACTGGGTAACCACAAACAACTGGGTAGTCACAAACAACTGGGTAACCACAAACAACTGGGTAGTCACAAAACAACTGGGTAGTCACAAACAAACTGGGTAACCACAAACAACTGGGTAGTCACAAACAACTGGGTAGTCACAAACAACTGGGTAACCACAAACAATGGGTAACCACAAACAACTGGGTAGTCACAAAACAACTGGGTAGTCACAAACAACTGGGTAACCACAAACAATGGGTAACCACAAACAACTGGGTAGTCACAAACAACTGGGTAGTCACAAACAACTGGGTAGTCACAAACAACTGGGTGTCACAAACAACTGGGTAACCACAAACAACTGGGTAGTCACAAACAACTGGGGAGTCACAAACAACTGGGTAACCACAAACAACTGGGTAACCACAAACAACTGGGTAGTCACAAACAATGGGTAGTCACAACAACTGGGTAGTCACAAACAACTGGGTAGTCACAAACAACTGGGTAGTCACAAACAACTGGGTAACCACAAACAACTGGGTAGTCACAAACAACTGGGTAGTCACAAACAACTGGGTAACCACAAACAACTGGGTAACCACAAACAACTGGGTAGTCACAAACAACTGGGTAGTCACAAACAACTGGGTAACCACAAACAACTGGGTAACCACAAACAACTGGGTAGTCACAAACAACTGGGTAGTCACAAACAACTGGGTAACCACAAACAACTGGGTAGTCACAAACAACTGGGTAGTCACAAACAACTGGGTAACCACAAACAACTGGGTAACCACAAACAACTGGGTAACCACAAACAACTGGGTAGTCACAAACAACTGGGTAGTCACAAACAACTGGGTAGTCACAAACAACTGGGTAGTCACAAACAACTAAGTAACCATGAACAACTATGTACGCAAAAAGATGTGTTGTGGTATCACAATCATATATTATAATCACAACTAAGCGCTAAACCCACAAGGGTCACACACCATGTGGTATCAAAATCATATAAATCATTACAAAGATACACTCACAATAATGTAACAGTACAGAGATAATCATAGAAGAGTCAGCGGTGTCACAACAGTCTTATTGCAACGTCTGGGGAACCACAGACAACCAGCTTTCTTAAGGCTCTTGGTCAAGCTTCTTGGATCAAGAGACTTCTTGGGAAGTCACAGACAAATTGGTAATCAATTTCTCTCTCTCTCTCTCTCTCTCTCTCTCTCTCTCTCTCTCTCTCTCTCTCTCTCTCCCTTACACACACACACGCACACACACAGATGGGACACAGCAACAAGGGGATGATATAATTGGAAGTTGAAGACACAGATGAATCACAGGGATGTTAGGAAGTATTTCTTCAGTCACAGAGTAGTCAGTAAGTGGAATAGTCTGGGAAGCGATGTAGTGGAGGCAGGATCCATTAATACCTTTATCAGAGGTATGATAAAGCTCATGGTACAGAGAGAGTGACCCAGTAGCGACCAGGAGCTATGATTCGACCCCTGCAACCACAACTAGGTGAGTACACACACACACACACACACACACACACACACACACACACACACTCACACACATACACACACACACACACACACACACACACACACATAACACGGGTGGACAGTTCAAAAACACGACGATATATTAATCACACTCACAGTAAAAACACTAAAAGGTCACAACTCTCCCAAAGTTAAATTACAAAAATGTATTTATTATTGTTGTTTTTCTGTGATCATTACTGTAACTATTATGGAATGAAAATATAAAATGGTGAAAAGTGATCTATGATCAATATCTAATTCAAGAAAACTACTAAAAACTACCCAAGTGAAGAGTTCTTGATGTAAGGCAATGGAGCAATCCCCGAACAAAGTCTTAAGCTGTGATGGATATCTAGTCAGTGGGCCGCCAGCAGCAACAGCCTGGTTGACCAGAC